GTATATATATATATATATATATATATATATAATAATAATAATTTTTTATTACAAGAGTATTGAAAATAACTTCTAATTGGTCAATTATTATTATTCACCGTTTGCTTTGTCCCTAAAATGTATGCATATAATTTGAAATTCAAAAGATACTGATACACAAGTTCATATTAAACCTTTTTTTAAAATTTGTGCACTAAGTCTCACCATCTCAAACAAAAGAAAGATACCCCTAACCAAGCTCCCTCTCACATATTTTTGTATACTTTGTTCTTAAGAAAATGTACTAAGGTGGCGGAGAGGCATGTCGTTTCATTTTGCACCTGCACCATTGAACTTTCAGAAGTTCCTTGATCTCACCCGGTCGGGTTCCCGTAGTTTGTCTCCCGAAAATGAGCTAAGACAGATGACGGCATCATCTATATCTGCTTCGCACACCAAGCCTGACGCCTTGTTAAGTTGTTCTACGGTTTATAGTAGTGATGCGAGGGCGGAGCTGCTTCGGAGGCCATCAATTAACAACCTTCCAGGATCGAAATTATCGCTGAAAGCGAGCTCGTCTTCCGTCGAAGAGGACTTCCTCGACGCGACGGAGAGCTCCTTGGTAATGTACACTTCCGACGATCACGAGGACTGCTTGAAAAAACACGATTTTGCAGAATCGGAATTATCAGGGTGTCCTCACCACGAGGTGATGCGTGAATTAATAGAAGAATTCAAGACCTTTTCCCTATGGCAGTATGGCAGTCCTTTTTATTATCCCGTAACCGACCAATTTTACTGTTGGAACCTGCACCCACTTCGGCGAAAGTACAAACATGAGTATCACGGTATGGACGGCATCAGCTGTGATTTTTGCGGCTACACCGAGTGGCTTACAGTGAACGACGAGTTGGAATCGACTTTGGCGTCTTTCGCCAAACGCACGGCTTTCTCGGGTGAAGGCCGGGATGGTTCTACGACCAAACCCCTGAACCCTCGCAGACCGAACCAATCGAAGACTAAAGGGGTAAAAGAAGAAGAGGCGCTGGAAGGATCCCAACCATGCGTCTCGTTCCACCACTGTTCCGTCTGTCAAGTGGATCTCTGCGCAGCGTGTATTGCGGATATCCGCTCGGATGACCGCTATCATGCACCTTGCCAACAGTGTTTGCGGTGCAAGGCCTACCTTTCCCACCTGCAGGCCGCGGCGCATCGTTGCAGAGGCTCAAAGTTCGCCATGCGTGCGGTTTCCGTCGAGAAGGAAAAGGCGGAGGGGGTGAAACGCCAAGGTCCACCCTTTTCCAGAGCTGAAGAATGTCCTGGTCTGAAAGCGGACCTTCTTCCTTCCTCTGCGGGCTACGACGAATGTCAATCGAGGACGCGAAAGTGTACCAAAAACCGGCGTGAAGCCAAACTCATGCGTGATGAGCCTTGTGGGATTCAGACCCCTAATGTAAAAGAGTTCGACTCTATTTTATCAATCTCTTCATCGGATAATTCTAAATTGTTTGAGATAAACACTCCTTCATTTCCATTGAAACAAAAGCATTGGGAGGAGGTGGAGTACAATTCGGCGGCAAGTCATTCGACAGGAAAGGCTGAGCCCCCAAGACGATCACCAGCATCGAGGCAATCGCCAATGCTTGAGAACGGTTGGGAGGCTTGCATCTCAGCAAGTACTTCTGAGGAAATTCTTCAAGTGGATCGGATAGCCAAAGAGGTGTCCGTGAAGCCAGTACAACAGAAAGTGAACGTCATGCAGAAGACTTTGTATAGGTTTAAAATGCCTACGCGTCTCGCTGCGGAGAATTGTGCGCGACTTGCCGGTGAATCCGGTCTGTGTGCTTCTCTTAAAAAGTTCTAAAATCCTGTTTTACGAAATACACGCAAACCGAGCATGAATCTCTCTTGGAGTGTTATTTTCTTCTTTTCTATATTAACGTAAGTGCCGAACTACCCAACCTTAAATCTAATATAGATTTCACTATCCCCCCTGTTCTGACCGACTTTTGATGTTCTCCCGGTTCTTTCTTTCCCAACCCATTTCACATTCCCCCCCCACTTTCCTCTCTCACCGACCGCGACCCAGGCGAAGGACTAGTTCCTGTGGAATTGATAACCCCTTCCCCCCCCTTTGATTCTTATTATTTTCCCTCATTTTGCGTAGCGCGTCGCCCGTGTAGTCCCAAGCGCGGGTGTCGAATGGCCGTAGTGGAGGTCGGGACGTGGAATGTGCGGGCGGGCTACATCGGCGACGTCGCGTGCACGCGGCAGCTTCGCTCGCTCTGCCGCCGCGACGCCCCGTGGGAGACGAACTTCGTGTCGATGCTGCGCCCCCCCTCCCCCCCTCCTTTCCGGCGGGCCTCGCGGGCCGACGGCGCCGGGCGGGAGGGGCCGCTGGCGGGGCTCTGGGGGCCGGACGGCCTGCGCCGC